TTCACTTATTTATTCAATCCAAGTTTATACATAAAGTTATTTCAGCATTTCTGTGCAAAAAACAAATATACCAACTAGAGTACAGCATCTATATATGGTTCCACTTATTTTCAGCCTCCAGTATAAAGTCAGAACACTGTTTTCCAAAGTTACTTAGATTAAGTCTCTTCTTTGCTACCTTCCTCAGTGTAGTTATATTAGCTTTTTGTGATGGAGTTAGGTTCATTCGTTAGATCCCCTGCCCCCTACATCCTGATAGATTTTAATTATTTAATTACATTATGAGCATGGGTAATCTTACCAAGGTTAAGAGTCAGAGTTAAATCAAAGGTATATTCAGAGAGGTGTCTCTCCTCCTCCATACCTACTGCCCCATTTTCTTCCTGTCAGTTTCCTACCCATTCCCTAAAAGTAGCTAATCTTCTGTGTTTCTTGTTTATCCTTCCTGTATCTCTTCTTCATAAATGAGCAGATACATGCTGTATTTTTTATATCCCCTTCTTTCTTATACAAAGGGTAGCATACTTTATAGAAAATATTTTGTAATTTTCTTTTTTTTACTTAAAAATAAATCCTTAAAATCACTCCATATCAGTATGTAAAGATCTTCCTCATTTACTTTATGGCTGCATAGTAGTCCAATGTGTGGATGTACCATGGTTTATCCAATCACTCTCCAATGTATGGCCCTTTAAGTTGTTTTCCATTTTGCATATGCAAACAATGTTGCAATAAATAAACATGCATATGTATTTTCATATTGCTGGAGCTATAGCTGAATAGATAGATTCTTAGAAGTGAGATTGCTGGGTCAAAAGATAAGTGCATATGACATGTTAAGTCTTTCCAAATTCCCTTCCAGAAGGGTTGTATCAATTTGCATTTCCATGAGCAACATGTGAGAGGCACTGCTTCCTTTGGGAATTTATTTAATGTGCACTGATTGAGTCACATGGGCTTCTGGGACATAGACATTTTCTCTTCAATAGTAGATTAATATCTTTTTTTTTGTCCTTTTTTTTTGAGACTGGCCGCACCGCGCTCAGCTAGTGAGCCCTGTGAGCGCACCGGTCATCCCTATATAGGATTCGAACCCACAGCGGGAGCGCTGCTGCGCTCCCAGCGCCGCACTCTCAGCGCCACACTCTTCTGAGTGCGCCACGGGCTCCCTGGGCTCGCGTGAGCCGTCAGCGCTCCTCCTTGGGGTGGGGGGTCTCCTACAGCAGCCCCTTGGAGCCCCAGAGAGCACCAGTTGGTAGCAGGCTCTACCATGGGGACGGTCCTCATCCAAGGGGACGCGAGTGGGGGAAGGCTTAGTCCTCACTTTGAGAACACATTTGTAGACACAGGAACCAGCTGCACTCAGGGGTAGCCATCCTTAAGGCCTGGTGACTTGTCTGAATCCCTCAGAGCGGTCACCTTGTGTCCAGCTCCAGGCCATGCCTGCCTAGGAAGGTCACAGTATAGACACAGCTCGCTTACAGCCCCTCAGCCTGAGACAGTGGGCCACTGCGGGTGCAGAGCAGGTCCCACACAGGGTAGAGCAGAGCCCAGAGCCCACTGGGACTTGCAGGACTGTGCTGGGGTGGACGCCAGCTTCCTAGGGGCTGCTTTCAGGGCCTGGGCGCACCCAGCAGATCATGCAGACCCTCGTTGCTCCTGGCAGCATAGAGGAATGGGGAGCAGGAGGCCTCCAGGAAGGAGGAGCCGAGATGGGGGAGGAGGGAGCACTTGGCAGCAAGGAGCTCTGTAGGGTTCCAAGGGCTGCCCCCACCCTGGCCCAGCTCTCAGGATGTCTTCCCTTCCTCCACACAGCCTGTCTGCCTGCCCACACCCCACCCCCCCCCAGCCTGCCTCAGGGGCTGTAGACGTGGCAGGCGGCCCCCTGCCTGCCTTGCTAGCTGATAAGTCCCTGGCTGGCCGCCCTGGTGTCCAGCCCGAGGAGCCAGAGCCTCTGGGCCTTCATGTTTGCCTAGAACTCCTATGTTCACCGTCGCAGGCTCCTGCTGCTGCCAGGGAAATCAGCTCTGCAGAGAAAGCTGGGATGATCTCTCCAGCCAGGCCCCAGGCAGCCACTCAACAAAGGCCCCTCAAGCCCTGACCAGACCCTGGTGGGGAGCTCAGTGGCTCCAAGATAAGCCTCAGCAGGCCTGGGTGCCGCCAGGCCATGGGTCCTGGGTGCCAGCCAGCTACCACTGTCCTTCCTGGGCTGTGCCCTGCATGGGGTGAGGCCAGGGCCAAAGGGGCGGGGGAGCTCCTGCTCAGGGCCCCCCACTCCCCGCTCCTGCAGACGTGCACACACGCACACTCACCCCTTCACATGGGCTCGCCTGTCTGCATTTGGGTCTACAGAGGCTCCTAACACACATCCCACGCTCACAGGGATGCAATGGCCCGTGGGCTCCCAGGCTGCTTGGGAACCAGCACAAGGGCCCACTTCACCCTAGGGCCAGGCCTGCACCACCTCAAGCTCTGGACTCAGCCAGTCCCCCGCCCCCCGCCAGCCCCATACCTCACCAGGCCCAGAGGTGCCACACGCTTCACTTTGCTCCACAGGAGCCTGACAGCCATGACTCAGAGCCACCTTCAACATGTGCTAAGGAAAGGCTAAGCCACAGACCACTCTGGCTCTGGCTTGGTGCAGGCTCAAGATTCCCTGGCCTTTCTCACCCACTAGCTTACTTCATCCTCTCTTCCTCTCGGTCAGGCAGAGCAAGGTAGGGCTCAGCAGCCCACCTTACGGAGGGGAGCAGGGCTCAGCAGCCCACCTTATGGAAGGGAGCAGGACTCAGCAGCCCACCTTACAGAGGGGAGCAGGGCTCAGCAGCCCACCTTACGGAGGGGAGCAGGGCTCAGCAGCCCACCTTACGGAGGGGGGCAGGGCTCAGCAGCCCACCTTACGGAGGGGAGCAGGGCTCAGCAGCCCACCTTACGGAGGGGAGCAGGGCTCAGCAGCCCACCTTATAGAAGGGAGGAGCAGGGCTCAGCATCCACATTTTACAGAAGAAACTAAGACCTGGGTACATTATCACCACACTGCACCGAACTGCAGCTGTTGTGACTGTCATTAAACTGAGTGCACAGTAGGTCAGAGGGTCCGCCTAGAGTCCCATTCCATGCCCGACCCCATGATGGGCCTTGTGTGTAGGCTACAGACGGTGCAGGTGGTTCTGTTGTCCAGCATGGGCCCCAGGAGCAACAGGTCCTTCCTCCACCGGGGCACAGCTGTGTGGTGCAGAAGCAGACTCCGTCCCAGCCGTCCAGTCTGAGGGTCTCACACTCAGGGCCCAGAGGGGGGCTGGGTATTGCCATTGAGTGCCTCACCTGCTGTTGTCTGTGGGGGCATAACCCTCCTGGACTTCTGTGGCCCCGCCCCTAGTGGGGAGGAGGCCTCTGCCCTGCCTTGGGGTTCCTGGGGTCCAGGACAATGTTAGGGATTCTGCAAAAACTCTGTCAAGCCTCCAGCATTGGTGGTGGAACTCCTGGGCATGTCAGAGTTGTGCCCACAGCTAAGGGTGGGTAGCCAGAGACCTGAGGCAGGGCCCTGCCCTCGGGGGCTCCCCATCTTTCTGGAAGGCAGAAGTGGCCACCCCCTTAGGTTAGGGTAGGCCTGGTCTCTGTCATGGGACCCCAGGGAGAGGTAGGCCTCAGGGGGACAGGGAGGGCATGTCCCCAGCCCCAGCCCTGACCCTTGACAGGCACCTGAGCTGCTTCCTCTCTTGTCCTCTGCCTCAGTTGCCTCCCTCTGACTTTAGCCGGCCGCACCCATGGAGCTGCTTGGCATGCCTCTCAGGCCCTTTCAATTCCCCAGCAAAAGGCAGTAAAATCCACCTCATCTCCAATGGGGCTCTCCGAGTGCTGCTGAGGCCCCCCCTGGGCCCCACCCCACCTGGCTCCTGTGGCCCTCAGAGCCAGGGCTGATCTGTTCTTCTACATGGCTCTGGCTTCCCGGCCCTCAAACCCCCACTCAGCCTTGCTGCTGCTGCCTGGCAGAGACCCTCAGCTCGAGGGCCCCGGGGGACAAAGCCATAAATGCAGCTTGAGGTTTTGCTGACATCATGAGAAGCTTCATTTTCTCTGTTGTGGTTTCTGGTGATGTCACCTGAGCCCCATGTATGGGCTTAGGGCTGGCGCCAAGCCTGGGTGCCTAGGGTCACCTGCCCTGTCCCACGTGGCCCCAGGCCCACCAGAGAGTCCCAGAAAATGCCTGTCACTCAGGGCAATTGCTGCAGGCCGAGACTGTTGCCTGGGGCCCCTTCTGTCCGGCACTAGGGACTGCCTGGGAAGGGTGCATGGCAGACCACCCCCTACCCTGAGAATGGTGGGGGCTGCTGCCAACGAGTGTGTGCCTGGACGCTGTGCTGCTGCTCTGGCCCCTCGGCTGGGCCACCTCTTCCCAAGGCTGTTTGAGAACTGGGCACCAGTATCCTGGGAAGGGGAGCAGGCAGGTCCCTGCTGGTGAATAGACAGGAAGCCGAGGCCCAGAGAGGCTGAGCCGAAGGCCCAGGGTCACCCAGCCCCCAGCGGA